GACTATTTATGTGTGTGTGTGTGTTTACAGTTTGTAGTCTGATATACATGATGGCGTAACATAGTCTGGTCAAGAACATTCAGATGATAAATCAATGTGCTACCCATCTTGACTCTTTTAGAGAAGACAGAGCCTCTGTCCAGTCCTTGAATGGTCTGATAGAAAAAGACATTCTGTCACTCTGCCTGCTCTGTCACAGCTGTGCTCCCTCTTCCAAAAAATGTGTTTAATCATTTTTGAAAAATGAGTGGAGCAACGTTTTTTTTTTTTTTAAATGACCGAGATGTTTAAAAAAATAAAAGATCAGATGAGGTTGTACGAGTAGAGTTTTATTTGGATTACATGTCTTGTGAATAATCTTCGCTGAAGATGTCCTTGGCGAGCCCCTGCTCTAACATTCATAACATTTCTTTGCCTCGCAGTTGCTCAACAATATCTTCATCATTGTCTTGTTCTCATGGGTCAGGATTTAGGAATTTAACCCATGCATGGCAATCTTTAGAGAACAACCACCAAAGGATGTGATTAAACAGTGTTACTCACCACATATCAATGCAATATTACTTGTGGCAAGGCAAAAAGAGTAAGGGATTTCTGGAAGGGAAATTTATGACTGGATCATATTGAAATATTTATTGGCAGGACACTCTGCTCTTGAACGTTGTAAAGTCAAACATTTATTTTGTATTATTTATTTAAACTGAAGGCATATAATGAATCCAAGTTCAGTCCCTTGTGCCACTGTGTTGTCACATTAACATTTGACCCAGACAAAGTGGATATTTTCCTCTCCTCCTCTGTCCTCTCATAGCATGTAGCACACATATGCTTTCATTTTTCTCAGCTCTTTCTGAACCACTATCCTCTTCGTTCTCTGCCCAGGTGCTGACTAAAGGTTTCGGCTTCCATCTCAGAGACCTCTGTAACGCCACGTCCCTGGAAGAGTTTGTTCACATTGCCGACCACAACGTGTCCCGTCTGACTCAAGAAATTATCTGCAAGTCCTCCAGTGATTGGCTAAACAAGGCACAAAGCCACTTCCTGTCCAACTTGGACTTCCTCAAACCGATTCGGGTAAGTTCAGTTGTTGAGTCCATCAAATTGACCAGTTGTTGTTTTACAATGGATATGTATTTTATGGCCCTTTAACATTCATAGTTGGGCCATACATCTTATTTGTTATGATAACACTTTACTCACCAACTTTAAGCCTGAGATCTGGGATGTGGCAACACTGCTAGATACAGCTTTACCACAGAGAAACTTGAGCAATAATGAGAAGAAACCATTTCAGTTGTGTTGACATATTTCACCAGCACTTAGTATTTTGTCCAGTGGATGAAAAAAGACTTCCCGTTTTAAACTGGAATACACATTATATCATCACTGATTGTGTTGCTTCACTGTTAGATAATTGGATGTCCCAGATCCCTCCTCTTTTCTGCTTAATGAAACTTTGCACTTTCCCTTGTTTTCTTTACTCATTTCCGTCCTCCTCTCATCCTCCCTCCTCCCTTCCCTGCCAGTGTCACCTCTCCTCTCCCTGTATCTTCCCGAACAGTCTGCCCTCTTCCCATAAAACCTATGACCTAAATGTGAGTCACGATGGTGAAGGATGGCAAGAGGTGAAACAAACATTGAATGTTGTAGCACTGATCTTTAGAAGGAGAAACAGACAAAGGAAAAGAGCGTGTCTTTAAAAAGAATCACATTTGTTTTAGAAGAAGTAATTCACCCCATATCACATGATGTTCTTTATAGACCTTCAAACTTTGATGCAAGAATGGAAGTTTCTTTCCAAAAGTAAAGTTGTGTAAAAGGGGCATGAACTCTTGCACCACTCAGCTTTCTCCTATTCCTCCTCCTAGTTACTTTATGTGTGGGTGTATGTGTGTGTG